TGCACTACTGTGATAGATAACAGCAAGCAGGTTCTGAAGAATGCACTACTGTGGATAATAACAGCAAGCGGTTCTGAAGAATGCACTACTGTGATAGATAACAGCAAGCAGGTTCTGAAGAATGCACTACTGTGATAGATAACAGCAAGCAGGTTCTGAAGAATGCACTACTGTGATAGATAACAGCAAGCAGGTTCTGAAGAATGTACTACTGTGAACTAATGTTTAGTGTTAAACCCTGAAATTCTCCTCTTCTAATCTGACTGTTTCCATTATTCAAACAATGACCATTTTTGTGGATTTCCAAAATACAAAACATGTCTCTTTATGTGCCTTCTCTCTTATGAATGTCCATATTAACCAGATACAAGTGATATTCAGAGAGAGATGTCCTGTGAAGCAAAATAAGCACAAATCTGTAAGAAAATTCAATACACAATTAACCCACATATAGGAGAAAGAAACTTATAATGATGTTTTTTTCAGACTTGGATCATTAACTAATCGCACACTGAAACACAAAATAATTATAGTGGAAGAATTTATCAGAACTTCTCAGTGCCAACAACAACATAACTATCTTTAACTACAATATCAGATCTTTAAGCAAGCATTACGATGACCTCATAGCATTACTAAATTCCTTACATGCCAATATGTCCATCATTACACTAACTGAAACCTGGCTAAAGCCTGATAGTACAGATGTCTATGCCATTCCTGGTTACACAGCCATACACAACTGTTAGGCCAGACCAACAAGGGGTGGCACAGCCATATACTACTTTAGACCAACTAGAATGTATCACTAATACTTGCACAAGGGATGAACATGGGGAATATATAATAGCCAAATTCAAATCCAAATACCTACAAAAACCTCTCACATTGATAAACATCTACAGAGTTCCACATTCCAAAACATTAGCCAATTTAGTCAAAACCTAGGAAGTATGATAACGTGCACGCATGAACAAAGATCACTTACTACTCTCAGGTGACTTCAATATAAATCTCCTGCAAGACCAGGACCCACACGTTCTGAATTCACAAACACAATGAGTAACTGTATGTTGCTACCAACAGTTTAAAAAAACCTACAAGAGTTACAGAGACTAGTGTTTCCCTACTTGACCACATCTGGACCAACACCATATCCCCTTTAAAAATCAGGCATATTTTCAGATAATCCACAGACCACTACCCTACTTTCCTCATAACAACTCTTGGGAAACTACCCCAAGACACTACCCAAAGTCACCTTCGACTTCACAATGAGGCAGCCATTAATAAAATTCACAACAGCAGTAGCAAACATTGACTGGCACACTGAGCTAGGAAATCTATACAGATATTGACGAATGTATTAATAATTTTATAAAAAAGACCCAATACCTCTATAACAAGCACTGCCCTAAAAACTAAAAAAGATGACAGCTAAGAGACTGAACAGTCCCTGGCTAACACCCAGCATTCTCAAATCCATAAATACAAAAACCAATATTGAAAAACGTACAGAATGGGTCACATAACCAGAGACCAAACAAAACGTTACTCGTCAATCCCAACCAGCCTGATAAAAGGGCAAAAAATTGTATTATGAGAACAGATTATCCAACTTACGAGGTGATATAAAAAAGACCTGGAAAACCCTATCAGAAATTCTGGGAACAAAAAAGATATCACGAAATAGCGAAATAAAATTAGCAAAATCAATGAACCCCAACTCCCACCAACAGAAACAGCAAACAGACTCAATAGATTTCTTCTCCACTATAGGACCAAAACCTTGCCCAAAAAAATCCCAAGCTCAGATACCCCACCAAATGACTACCTCACCGGCAACTACCCGAACACATGTTTCCTAGCTCCGACTAACCCATACGAAGTCTCCCTTATTATCAACGCACTAAAAAAAAAGGCAGGGGATTTAAATACCTTACCACCTTTATATACAAAAAAGTGTCACAAGTGCTATCACCAATCATTGCAACATCTTTAACAAATCCATTGAATCCTCCACCTTCCCTACAGTACTCAAAATTAAACAAGGGTCACCCCGATTCACAAAGGAGGTGACCAAACAGAGTTGAATAACTATAGGCCAATATCCAACTTACACCCTCTCTCAAAAATCTTCGAAAATTAATTCATAAACGAATCTACTCCTACCTTATCTCCCAAAACATACTCAACCCCTGCCAATTTGGATTCAGGCCTAATAAAAATACTAATGATGCTATTTTACACATGCTAGAACATATATACACTGCAATAGAGAAAAAAAGAATCCCACTGGGGATCTTCAATTGACTTACGTAAAGCTTTTGATACAGTTACCATGACCTTGCTCCACGTAAAATTGTCACACTATGGTATAAGAGGCACTCCCTCAACTACCTCAAATCATACCTCAGCAACAGAAGCCAATATGTGTACGCAAATGGAGCAAACTCTTTTGCACAACCAATTACAGTTGGGTCCCACAGGGAAGTGTCCTTGGCCCTCTTCTCTTTCTCCTATACATAAATGACCTACCAAATGCTTCGCAATTACTCCCAAACCCACACTATTTGCAGATGACACTACATACGTCTTCTCCCACCCAAGCCCAGTCACGCTAGCCAATACTGTAAATACCGAATTACAGAAAATATCTACCTGGATGAGGACTAAAAAAACTTACACTAAACATTGACAAAACCTACTTCATTCAGTTTGGTAAAAGAGCTACAGATGTCCCTCTTAAAATAATGATAAATGGATCACCTATCACCAAGCTAACAGAGGGGAAAAATTTTTAGGGAACCACCTTGATAATAGACTCAAATTTCATTTCACATATACAACAAATTTCTAAGAAAATTTCCAAGACTGTAGGCATACTATCGAAGATACGGTACTATGCTCCACAGTCAGCCCCCCTGGCCCTATAATCACTCTCTTTTTTACCCCTATCTCACCTTTGGAATTTGTGCATGGGGCTCAACAACAATTAACCATCTCAGACCACTAATTACCCAACAAAAGGGTGCAGTTAGAATGATAACAAATTCCACTACAGGCAGCACACTCCCACCAATATTCAATACACTAAACCTCTCACCAACAAAACATGCCATACTTATTTTCTGCACCTACTACATACATAGAACACTTAACTCTGATATTAACCCTCCCCTCAAACATCTCCTTGCCAACCTCAACAGAACACATGACCATAACACAAGGCACAGATCACTCTTTGATGTTCCTCGTGTCCATCTCACACTATGCAAAAACTCAATGCACATAAAAGGCCCTAAAATCTGGAATTCATTACCTGTAAATATAAAGGAAACACTACCTGTTTATAAATTCAAGTCTCTTCTCAAAGATCACTTACTCACCCAAAACCAAATAAATACTGAATAACTGAACCTTATAAATTGTATATCTTAAATGTTTCTCACAATTATATCACATAAATGTTAAACCTAAAACCCAATCTAACTTTATTATTTTTTAAATACACTACCTAACAGAATACTCCATATGACTGAATGTACAACAATGCAAGCAACCATATGACCTGTCTTTGTAATACTCACTTGTGCTTTATAGTAATCTGTTTACATTAATGTTTTATCACTGATTTCATCATTGCTTAGTTAATCTTAAGTTAATTTTAAGCCAGCCCATAATGCTATGCATAGTATAAGTGGCTTTGGCATGCTGCTCTTATATGTATTTTTTTGTACCTCTGTATGTGTGCTCAAATTGTAAATAAATAAATAAATAAATAAATAAATAAATAATGTTCTGTATGCAGTGGTACCTCGAGTTTCAAACAGCTCCCAACTCGAACAATTATGTAAGTGTATTTTTGTAAGTGATATTGTATTTTTTTTAAGAGGTTTGAAACAGACTAATCTAATTTACATTATTCCTTATGGGAACAAATTCATTCGGTATCGGCACTCAAACAGCGTTCTGGAACGAATTAAGTTCATAACTCGAGGTACCATTGTACGTATTTCATGAATTTTGAATCTGCTTGGTTCTCTTGAAAAATACGTAATTGTTTGTGATTATGGGGTCACAACTTTATGGTTATCCCTACAAATTTTCAAGCTTCTGTATTTGCAAATTTTGATAACCCAATGTTTTCACTTAAAAGACAACCAGGGAACAGATTCAATTAAAAAAAATTTCTGACTTGATAGGTTTAATATGCCTAACCTTGTTTTCATTATGGTCATCATTTCTAGTGCTTTGTTAACCAGGTTAGTGAAATAGCATGCATATCACAGAGATACAGTTTCATAAACACAAAACCTGAAGCAAAATTTGTACTGCAAATTTATTTTGTATTATTCATGGTTTCTTGTTTCACAGGACTTATATAATTGTAACCTGAAAATCTGTAGGAATGATGGTAAAGTCCACTGTAACCTTTTTAAAACTCAATGTGCATAAAAAGACCCAAAATCTGGAACTCTCTACCAGAAAGCTCCAGAATCTCTATCTGCCAGTCACTTCACAGCTGTTTAAAAAACACCTTACACTAATGTGACTCTAACAACAGTTGATAATGCTGATCAATTCTTTCAACTAGTATTGTCTGTCCTTATCTATCATTCCTTCAACTCATGTACCTAGCCTCATTCTTTATATCAATTATAGACATATTTTCTTTTTTAATTACTAAATTCCTCCAATATTTTAAAAACTATACATTCCTCTTCTCAAACAACTGTAATCATAATTTAGTTTTAAGGTTGCCCAAAATGCTATGCATAAGAAGGGGCTTCTATAAAGTAGTTTTTGTATGATAGTCACCCTAATTGTATAATATACTGTACTCCTCTTTACAGAAATAAAGTTGGTACATAAGACACACAGGCAACATTTAGGCAACTTTATTCGGAATAAAGTTGCCTAAATGTTGCCTATGTGTCTTATGTACCAACCCGTCGGTATTGTTATACCATTTGATAGAAATAAAGTTGGTTTGAAAGTCATGCCAGATACTTACGGCTCAGCAGAAGAATTGGAAGTGAGATTTCTTGAATTTTTGAAGGAAGCTTAAATCCCATTTCATAAATCCCCTCAAGGAGGTCCTTCCTTAGGTTAAGCTCCTCAAAAGTCTTAGCACAAAACAAGGGATTGTGGGGATCTTTGCGGTACACCTCGACATTGTTCTTTGTCTCAATAATTCCCTTCCTCATCACCTTCCTCATCAGCGACAAGTCTGCAGCAGTGACATTTTCCTCAGAGGAATCATTGTTGGTCTCCTTTAAATTCAGCTTTTCTTCTTCAGCTTTAGCACTTTTTGCATTAGCATGTTCAGCTTTAACCTCTACTGCTTTGGTATCTTCAGGTTTACTATCTACTGCTTTGGCATCTTCAGCTTCAACCTTCTCTGCTTTACCATTCTTGTTTGTAGCCTCCTCGGTGTCGGGAATCTTCAAGTTCTCAACCTGCAGAGATATATCAAGTGATAAATTAGGTAAACAATGGGAATTAGATTAAAACAAATTGAATCAGAGTAAGGCAGAGACACAATTAGTCAAGGCCTATGAGATAATTAACCAAGGCCTATGAGAGAATTAACCAGGCCTATACCTGGAGTATACCTGGAGAGGGTTTTTTGGGTCAACACCCCAGCAGCTTGGTCTGTGACCAGGCCTCATGGTGGATCAGGGCCTGATCAACCAGGCTGTTACTGTTGGATGCATGCAACCTGACATACGAACCACAGCCTGGCTGGTCAGGTACTGACTTCAGGTGCCTGTCCAATGTCTTCTTGAAGACAGCCAGAAATCTATTGGTAATCCCCTTTATGTATGCGGGGAGGCAGTTGAACAGTCTTGGTCCCCTGACACCTATTGTGTTGTCTCTTATCGTGCTAGTGGCACCCCTGCTTTTCATTGGGGGGATGTTGCATCATCTGCCAAGTCTTTTGCTTTCTTAGGGAGTGATTTTCGTGTGCAAGTTTGGTACTAGTCCCTCTAGGATTTTCCAAGTGTATATAATCATGTATCTCTCCCGCTTGCATTCTAGGGAGAACAGGTTGAGGAACTTCAAGCGTTCCCAGTAACTGAGGTGTTTTATCATAGTTATGCGTGCTGTGAAGGTTCTCTGTACATTTTCTAGGTGGCCAATTTCACCTGTCTTGAAAGGTGCTGTTAGTGTGCAGCAATATTCCAGCCTAGATAGAGCAAGTGACCTAAAGAGTGTCATCATAGGCTTTGTATCCCAAGTTTTGAAGCTTGTCATTATCCATCCTGTCATTTTTCTAGAAGATGCAATTGAAACAATGTTATGGTCTTTGAAGGTGAGATCCTCTGACGTGATCACTCCCACATCTTTTACGTTACTTTTTTCACTCTATTGTGTGGTTGGAATTTGTTTTATACTCTGATGTAGTTTTAATTTCCTCACGTTTTCCATATCGGAGTAATTGAAATTTCTCATCATTGAATTTCATAGTTTTCTGTGGCCCATTTAACCCTTTCAGGGTCCGTCCCGTAGATCTACGGCTTTATGGTGAGTGTCCAAACCGTAGATCTACGCCATGAGCTCAGCTCACTCTGATAAACTGTGAGTGGTACATTTGGGCCTAGATATGAGAGAATACATCTATGTGATATGTGTGCACCACATAAAACAGATCCTGCAGCACACTGTGTATAATGAGAGAAAAAAACTGAAATCATGATTTTTCGATTAAAACAGCAACTTTGCAGTGTTTTTTCGTATGTTTTTTATAGTTGTATTTGCGATTTCTTGGTCTCATTTGATAGAATCGAAGACATATTACAGAAATAGAGATGATTTTGATTGGTTTTAGCACTGGAAATGGCTTGAAACTGAGCTCAAAGTAGCGGAAATGTTAAATTTTTGCCGATATTCAAGAGTAAACAAACGACCTCACACGTCTAATACACGTCAGCTGGTGGGTCTAATATACATTCACAAATATGGTGATGATATTTATACAATTATTACAGTATTGCATAGCAGTAAATCTTCTATTTTTTGGTGTGAATAAAAATTCATTATGTGAATAAAAAATCAAAATGGAATTTATTTGTAAAGCCTCATAACATGACTAATGAACAGAGGAAATGTTAGTTTAGTGCCAGGAATGCCTACATTGTTTATTCTGGACCCTATTTTGAAATTGGAATATTTTGAACTTTGTGTTAAATTGGCCAAATTAACAATTTCCGATCACTTTATTTTGTAGTTGAAACAGTTGACTTGGCGATTTCTTGTGCTCAATCGATAGAATAGAAGTAATACTAGTGAAATAGCTAAGAATTTGGCTGATTGGAATAATGTAATTGGCCTAAAATGGGAGTCAAAGTCGGCAAAATCGCCGATTCGTAAATATCGCTGACACATCAAAATTCGCGAGAGCATAATTTCGTCAATTTTCCACCAAATTTCGTACTTTTTGTTTTATTACCTTCACAAAAAGATTCTCTACGATTTCATAAGAAAAAATAACAAATTTTTTTTTTGAAAATTCTTGGACACTGGTGCGTGACTCCAGATTTGGGCCTTGGACCCTGAAAGGGTTAAAGATTTGGTTGATGTCTGCATGGATCTCCAATGGAGATCTATGTAACTGACAGGAAAGGATTAATTTATTAATCTCCCTCCAAAACTTTTTTTTATTCTCAGCAAAATCTGTCAATAAAACTTCACCCCCCTCTCATTGGCTCTCCTTTTGCACTCCCTCACCACTCATTTTAACCTCTCTCCTATATACATACGCATATAGAAAAGAGGTCAACCAGGCTGTTGCTGCTGGAGGCCCGCTGCCCCACATATTCATCAGAGCCTGGGTGATCTGTTAACTTTTTCTTCCTGACCACCCACTACCTCCTCATTCCACTATTCACTCATCTTCTTCCCTAAATCCACATTGTTTGTGGTTTTTATTGCTACATATCTGTTTTGTTTGCAACACAGTCTCTGTGGAATTTTTGCCTATTAAATATGCATTAAATATAAAAATAATACCATCACTGCTAGCCACTACCTTGTCATACTCATCATTACTTACACAGTCAGTGCATCTGAAGTGCACTCACCTCTCACTGGTATTACATGTAATGGCATGGATATGACTGATACCCCTGCACCACCACAAAGAACATAAGTCCAATTGATACAGACCTACATACCTGGGCACTCATTGCCAGTCATGGGTTGCTTTCAGTGTCACCAGATAAAGCAGTGTTGCCACACTTTGTGACAGAACAATGCTGACTGGGGTTCCTTGACTGACCATAGTGTCAAACCATCATGTATCCTCCTCACACTCCCATAAAAATCATCTTGTCCCATTCTGCCTTATACTGCAAGATAAGTGGAACAGAATTCTTCCTCCGTAAGCCATGCGTGTCGTAAGAGGCGACTGAAATGCCGGGAGCAAGGGGCTGGTAACCCCTTCTCCTGTATATATTAATAAATTTTGAAAGGAGAAACTTTCGTTTTTCCTTTTGGGCCGCCCCACATCAGTGGGATACGGCCGGTGTGTTGAAACAAAGAACTATAATGAGAATTATGGCAACTGCCACTTCCCTTACACCTTCCTTTAAAATTTGTTTACTTTTACCTGCCTATTTTGCTTTCCATGTGTTCTCTCATTATATTATACACAGGTATGATAAAGCTCATGGAATATCAAATGGTATACAATACCGACAGGTTGGTAGATAAGACACATAGGCAACATTTAGGCAACTTTATTCCGAAACGTTTCGCCTACACAGTAGGCTTCTTCAGTCGAGTACAGAATGTAGGCAGGAGCAGTAGAGATGTGAAGACGATGTAATCAGTCCATCACCCTTGGAGTCGTAGATTTGAGGTTGTCAGTCCCTTAGCCTGGAGAAGTTCTGTTCCAAAGTCTGGAACTAACTGAAGATCGAGCGACAGTGTTGAGACTTAAATACTGTCCGAAGGAGAGGTGCAGAGTAGTAGTAGTAGTGAGAATGTAGCCACTGAGTGGTCAGGTCCCTCTCAGATCAAACAATTCTCACTTGAAAAAGTTGTCCGAAGTGTTTTCTCTTCTATACCAAGATGCCATTGTGTTGCAGTGTCTGACAGAGTGAATATCAAATGGTATACAATACCGACAGGTTGGTAGATAAGACACATAGGCAACATTTAGGCAACTTTATTCCGAAATGTTTCACCTACACAGTAGGCTTCTTCAGTCGAGTACAGAATGTAGGCAGGAGCAGTAGAGATGTGAAGACGATGTAATCAGTCCATCACCCTTGAAGTCGTAGATTTGAGGTTGTCAGTCCCTCAGCCTATGTGTCTTATCTACCAACCTGTCGGTATTGTATACCATTTGATATTCACTCTGTCAGACACTGCAACACAATGGCATCTTGGTACAGTAGAGAAAACACCTTGGACAACTTTTTCAAGTGAGAATTGTTTGATCTGAGAGGGACCTGACCGCTCAGTGGCTACATTCTCACTACTACTACTACTACTACTCTGCACCTCTCCTTCGGACAGTATTTAAGTCTCAACACTGTCGCTCGATCTTCAGTTAGTTCCAGACTTTGGAACAGAACTTCTCCAGGCTGAGGGACTGACAACCTCAAATCTACGACTTCAAGGGTGATAGACTGATTACATCATCTTCACATCTCTACTGCTCCTGCCTACTTTCTGTACTCGACTGAATAAGTCTACTGTGTAGGCGAAACGTTTCGGAATAAAGTTGCCTAAATGTTGCCTATGTGTCTTATCTACCAAAGCTCATGGAGCTGAAAGAGTGACCCAGTAGTGACCAGAGAAGAGGTGGGGCCAGGAGCTGTGAATCGACCCTTGCAACCACAACTAGGCGAGTACACAGGTGTTACTTTCCACCATAGATAAAAGTTGAGTCTTATCTCACCTCTGGTGATAGCTAGCAGCATCTTTAGCTCAGGTGACCTAACTGCTATTTACTTCCTCTCTTCACACTCAGCTTTCTCATGCTTTTTTCCTCACATTTCGACACTAACCTCCACTTTTTGGCAGGTTACCATTACTACAATTATTTCACCCCAAGCATCTACTGCCAGTGGAAGAGTTGTGACTGCCGTGTTTTGCTTTCATGAACATGCATGTAACACATCTAGAGAGACCTGCCTCAGTCACCTGAGCCAGACAGGTGATATTTTGTGCAGTGATATTCCTCTCCTTCTATATGAAGGTTGGGCCAAATCTTAGTCACTGTGTTGGCATGGCTTTCAACTCAATTTCTAGGCCATAGCTTGTCTACTCTTATAGATGACTAACTTCTGATTAGATCATGTCTACTGTGTTATGAGGCCTGGTCTCAGACCAGGCTGCGGGGGCATTGACCCCCGAAACTCTCTCCAGGTCTCCATGTGTTCAGGACCCATAACTATGTAAATGACAAATAGGTAAATTAAGCCATGACAGGAAGTGTCAGGGGCCCATGACTGTTTAACTGCCTTCCAACATACATAAGGGAGGGTACCAATAGACCCCTGGCTGTATTCCAGAGGGAGCCAGACTGACACTTAAAATCAGTACCTGACCAGCTAGGATTGTGTGCTGTTACTGCTGGCCACATCCAGGATTGTGTGCAGCCATCAGCCTGGTTGATCAAGCCCTGATCCACCACAAGGCGTGGTCATGGACGGGGCCGCAGGAATGTTGATCCCCGGAACACCCTCCAGGTAGACCCCAGGTATACTAGGCAGAAACAGTTTGAGGTCTTTCTCCTTAATGACCCTGTGATGAAGACCCTGGCTAGTCCAGGCACAACATAAATTTACAGTGATGGGGGAGAGATTGGTAAACCTGAAAGGGTGATACAGTGCCTGGAGAATGGGCAGTAACCATGTCTGATCCAAGGAAAGGCAGGAAAAGTTTATATCATTGAATAGCCAGTAAATAGGCTTTCACGTTTTGTGTACACATCACACACATTTTCTACGATGGTCTAGAAGGCACACGCTACAGACACATAAAGAGTGACGTTATGTAGATATAAAGTAAGATAAACCAATAGAGTCAAACAGTGTGACTGATTTCCACTAGTATGAATATCATATTACTGATGGCATACAATACTGACAAGTTGTGATGAAGAACCCTCACCACACCAGCAGCACAGCAGCAGCAACCACGGCCAGTATGCAGCAACAGCCACAGAAAGTGGCAACATGGCCAGCAGCAGCAGAAGCCACAGCCAGCAGCAACAGCACAAGCAATAGCAGCAACAGCAGAAGCAGCAACAAACAGCCAGCAGCAACAAACAGCCAGCAGCAACAAACAGCCAGCAGCAACAAACACGGCCAGCAGCAGCCACAGCCAGCAGCAGCAGCCTTGGGCGGTATGCAGCAGCAGCCACGGGCAGAATGCTGCAGCAGCAGCAGCCACCATGGGCAGTATGCAACAGCAGCAGCCATGGGCAGTATCCAGCAGCAGCAGCCATGGGCAGCATGCAGCAGCAGCAATGGCCAGCATGCAGCAGCAGACACTGCCAGCATGCAGCAGCAGACCCAGGCAGCAGCAGACACAGGCAGCAGCAGACACAGGCAGCAGCAGGCACAGGCAGCAGCAGACACAGGCAGCAGCAGACACAGGCAGCAGCAGACACAGGCAGCAGCAGACACAGGCAGCAGCAGACACAGCCAGCAGCAGACACAGCCAGCAGCAGACACAGCCAGCAGCAACAGCACAAGCAATAGCAGCAACAGCAGAAGCAGCAACAAACAGCCAACAGCAACAAACACGGCCAGCAGCAGCCACAGCCAGCAGCAGCAGCCTTGGGCAGTATGCAGCAGCAGCCACGGGCAGAATGCTGCAGCAGCAGCAGCCACCATGGGCAATATGCAGCAGCAGCAGCGATGGGCAGTATCCAGCAGCAGCAGCCATGGCCAGCATGCAGCAGCAGACACTGCCAGCATGCAGCAGGAGACAGCCAGCATGCAGCAGCAGACACAGCCAGCATGCAGCAGCAGACACAGCCAGCATGCAGCAGCAGACACAGCCAGCATGCAGCAGCAGACACAGCCAGCATGCAGCAGCAGACACAGCCAGCATGCAGCAGCAGATACAGCCAGCATGCAGCAACAGCAGACACAGCCACCATGCAGCAGCAGAAGCAGCCAGCATGCAGCAGCAGACACAGCCACCATGAAGCAGCAGACACAGCTACCATGAAGTAGCAGACACAGCTACCATGCAGCATCAGACACAGCCACCATGAAGCAAGAGACACAGCCAGTATGCAGCATCAGACACAGCCAGCATGCAGCATCAGACACAGCCAGTATGCAGCATCAGACACAGCCAGCATGCAGCATCAGACACAGCCAGTATGCAGCATCAGACAAAGCCAGCATGCAGCATCAGACACAACCAGCAAGCAGCATCAGACACACCCATCATGCAGCAGCAGACACAGCCACCACGCAGCAGCAGACACAGCTAGTATGCAGCATCAGACACAGTCAGTAGTAGCAGCATCAGATACACCCACCATGCAGCATCAGAAACAATCAGACGCAGCAGCATACACAGCCAGTATGCAGCAGCAGACACAGCCAACATGCAGCATTAGACAGAGCCAGCAGTCAGCATCAGACACAGCCAACATGCAGCATCAGACACACCCATCATGCAGCATCATACACAGCCATCATGCAGCAGCAGACACAGCTAGTATGCAGCATCAGACACAGCCAGAAGTAGCAGCATCAGATACACCCACCATGCAGCATCAGAAACAATCAGAAGCAGCAGCATACACAGCCAGTATGGAGCAGCAGACACAGCCAGTATGCAGCAGCAGACACAGCCAGTATGCAGCAGCAGACACAGCCAGAAGTAGTAGCATCAGACACAGCCAGTATGCAGCAGCAGACACACCCACCATGCAGCATCAGAAACAATCAGAAGCAGCAGCAGACAGCCAGTATGGAGCAGCAGACACAGCCAGTATGCAGCAGCAGACACAGCCAGAAGTAGTAGCATCAGACACAGCCAGTATGCAGCAGCAGACACACCCACCATGCAGGATCAGACAACCAGAAGCAGCATCATAAGACAGCCAGTATGCAGCATCAGACACAGCCAGTATGCAGCAGCAGACACAGCCAATGTGCAGCATCAGACACAACCAGAAGCAGCAGCATCAGACACAGTCAGTATGCAGCATCAGACACAGCCAGCATGCAGCAGCAGACACAGGCAACAGCAGACACAGCCAGTATGCAGCAGAAGACACAGCCAATGTGCAGCATCAGACACAACCAGAAGCAGCAGCATCGGACACAGTCAGTATGCAGCATCAGACACAGCCAGCATGCAGCAGCGGACACAGGCAACAGCGGACACAGCCAGCAGCAGACACAGGCAGCGGCAGACACAGGCAGCAGCAGACACAGGCAGCAACAGACACAGGCAGCGGCAGACACAGGCAGCAGCAGACACAGGCAGCAACAGACACAGGCAGCAGCAGACACAGGCAGCAGCAGCAGCAGACACAGGCAGCAGCAGCAGAGGGACACACGAGGTTAATACATACCTTAGCTATAATATCTCTGGCCTCCTGCTCCTCGGCAGCCTTGGCCCAGTCATCACCCATAATGATGATAATACAGCAGCTGCAGCAGCAAGAACAGCACCAAGAGTAACAGCAGAATAACAGCAGAAACCTCAAAAACACAACCCAACAACAACTGCACCACACACACTAACTCCGCCTCACATAACACACACCATCATCGTAATTTATCACTTACTTCACTATTATTGCCACTTTAACAGACGTAATAGGAATATAAAATACGAAATTTGTATAACTGTATCTTAGAAATTCAATATTATGCATAAAATCTTCCAGAAAGATGATATTTTATCGATTTTGTAAGATGGAAGTCAAGGCGATTTGTGTCAAATATTACTGTGGTTAATATTGGTGAATGTACCGTGACACTAACGTTATTGTCACGGTGGTGGTTAATATTGGTGAATGTACCGTGACACTAACATTATTGTCACGGTGGTGGTTAATATTGGTGAATGTACCGTGACACTAACATTATTGTCACGGTGGTGGTTAATATTAGTGAATGTACCGTGACACTAGCATTATTGTCACGGTGGTGGTTAATATTGGTGAATGTACCGTGACACTAGCATTATTGTCACGGTGGTGGTTAATATTAGTGAATGTACCGTGACACTAACATTATTGTCACGGTGGTGGTTAATATTAGTGAATGTACCGTGACACTAAGCATTATTGTCACGGTGGTGGTTAATATTAGTGAATGTACCGTGACACTAGCATTATTGTCACGGTGGTGGTTAATATTAGTGAATGTACCGTGACACTAGCATTATTGTCACGGTGGTGGTTAATATTAGTGAATGTACCGTGACACTAGCATTATGTCATGGTGGGGTTAATATTGGTGAATGTACCGTGACACTAGCATATATTGTCACGGTGGTGGTTAATATTAGTGAATGTACCGTGACACTAGCATTATTGTCACGGTGGTGGTTAATATTGGTGAATGTACCGTGACACTAACGTTATTGTTACGGTGTTGGTTAATATTGGTGAATGTACCGTGACACTAACATTATTGTCACGGTGGTTAATATCAGAGAATGTACCGTGACACTAACGTTATTGTCACGATTGTGGTTAATATTAGTGAATGTACCGTGACACTAACATTATTGTCACGATTGTGGTTAATATTAGTGAATGTACCGTGACACTAACGTTATTGTCACGATTGTGGTTAATATTAGTGAATGTACCGTGACACAAACATTATTGTCACGATTGCGGTTAATATTAGTGAATGTACCGTGACACTAACATTATTGTCACGGTGGTTAATATTAGTGAATGTTCCGTGACACTAACATTATTGTCACGGTGGTGGTTAATATTAGTGACTGCACCGTGACACTAACATTATTGTCATGGTGGTTAATATTAGTGACTGTACTGTGACACTAACGTTATTGTCACGGTGGTGGTTAATATTAGTGAATGTACCGTGACACTAACATTACTGTCACGGTGGTGGTTAATATTAGTGAATGTACCGTGACACTAACGTTATTGTCACGGTGGTGGTTAATATTAGTGAATGTACCGTGACACTAACATTACTGTCACGGTGGTGGTTAATATTAGTGAATGTACCGTGACACTAACATTATTGTCACGGTGGTGGTTATTAGTGAATGTACCGTGACACTAACGTTATTGTCACGGTGGTGGTTAATATTAGTGAATGTACCGTGACACTAACATTATTGTCACGGTGGTGGTTAATATTAGTGAATGTACCGTGACACTAACGTTATTGTCACAGTGGTGGTTAAAATTAGTGAATGTACCGTGACACTAACGTTATTCTCACGGTGGTGGTTAATATTAGTGAATGTACCGTGACACTAACGTTATTGTCACGGTGGTGGTTAATATTAGTGAATGTACCGTGACACTAACATTATTGTCACGGTGGTGGTCAATATTAGTGAATGTACCGTGACACTAACGTTAGTCACGGTGGTGGTTAATATTAGTGAATGTACCGTGACACTAACGTTATTCTCACGGTGGTGGTTAATATTAGTGAATGTACCGTGACACTAAAGTTATTGTCACGGTGGTGAATATTAGTGAATGTACCGTGACACTAACGTTATTGTCACGGTGGTGGTTAATATTAGTGAATGTACCGTGATACTAACGTTATTATCACGGTTGTTAATATTAGTCAATGTACCGTGACACTAACATTATTGTCACGGTGGTGGTTAATATTAGTGAATGTACCGTGACACTAACGTTATTAGTCACGGTAGATTTTTAGATTTTGCCACCTAGTCATTGTGGTAGTCTACAAGCCTCCGGATGCAACATCCCAGCAATTCCAGGAACAGCTGTTAAAAATTGACCACTGTCTGGAAAATCTTCCAGTTCCTGCACCCAACATCTTGCTCCTGGGGGATTTCAACTTAAGGCACCTAAAATGGAGGAATATAGCAAATAATATTGTTGCAGTAATAACACCAGGAGGCAGCTCTGATGAAAACTTGGACCTGTTGTAACAAGACTTTGTCGCCAATACAAAGAACGACTAAGAGCACTTAGAGTTGTGGCAGGGCTTCACCCCAGGTATGGTGCTAATGTTAAAATTGTGAAAATGATGTATCTTGCTTATATTAGATCATTGGTTGATTATGCTGCGCCACTACTTGCTCTTGTGTCTGACTGGAAGCTTGGAGGGCTGGAAAAACTGCAGAACGAAGCAATGAGGATCATCCTAGGATGCCCTCGTACTGCCAAAATTTTAAATATGCAAAAAGAACTTGATATTCCAAGCATCAGAGATCGTGTTACTGAAAGAAATATCCTAATTGGGGTTAATATGCTCAGGCAAGCTCATTCAAACCCCTGCACAGAAGCCCTCCAAACTTTCCTCAGCACTGGTGAACACTCCTCCAGATGGATCGAAAAGACTGGAACCGACCTCCGCATGAATCAGATACATGATCTATGTCAAGTAAGGCAACAGCGGCACTTCTCCGCTCCATGGAATATTACCCCATTCCAAACTACCATTCCTCCATTTCCCCCCAAACTACTTCTTAAATCACAACCAAAACTTCGCCTTGAAGCCAAACATGAGGCCTTAAGCTGTATTGATAACTTAGTCACACAGCACACACTCTCGCAAATTATTTACGTTGATGGTTCTGTTCACCAATCCACTGGTGCAGCTGGTAGTGCTGCTGTTGTCGTACAGAGTGATGGCTCTCTTAAAGAAATTGGAGCACGCATCAATAATTGGGCCTCTACCCTTCAGACAGAACTGTTTGCCATACTCCTTGCACTGAAATGCATCTATGTATCAAAGATTGACAGTTTAATTGTAACTGATTCTCTGTCATCCATAAATGCTCTCAACTCATTAAGCATAAATTGTGGCATGCTTGTGTCAGAAGCCAGACACAGGTATGGTAGGATTGTGGACAGTGGAGTCAGAGTGCACATGCTGTGGATTCCATCTCACATTGGTCTTCAGATGCATGATAGAACTGATAAATTGGCTAAGCTGTATGCTTTCAAAGAGGGAGTAGATTACAATCTTGGCTTGTCAGGTAGTAGTTTGAGAACAATAATACGAAAAGAACTTCAGCTGAATTTTATGGACTTAAGGCTCAGGGAGATTGACACCAGTGAGTCCATCTATCATCATTCTATCATGCAGGAGGAGCCACATGTCTATGGTGCATCCAACAAAATAAGCAGACTCTTGGATGTCACTACCGCCCGGCTCCGGCTGGGTTACAAGTATCTTTGGCAGGTTAAATCACCACCACCAGATGTAGACCAAACGAAATGTAAACTTTGCCAGATGGATTATTGTCACACCCTGCGTCATTATGTACTGGAGTGCGATAAAATTAATGAATTTAGAAACAA